ACTTCAAAAATTAGTACAAGGTTGCAAATAGCATAAAATTATAAAATAAAAATTTCTCTTTAACATACATACTTCAAAATTTGAAAAATGACAGAATAATTATTAGAGCTGGAAGTCAAATTAGAAAATAACGACGTTACAAAATAACGTCGTTATTTTCAACAAATAGGTTGTCCAGAATATGTTTTATTGAAATCATAAATTGCCACTAAAAAAATTGTTAATGTTCTTTCGAGTAACTGCAACTGGTAACTTGTAAGTAAATATTAAATTTCGTATTGTTTGGTTTTGAACGAAATAATTGTACACAGTTGTTTATTCTGACCTAAGAAAATATTTAATTTTAGGGATTTGGCTACTGAAAACTTGCGTTATCTCTCAAGTGAACAAGCGGTGGCCGATTCTGCAAACTTTATCAAAGCCATGAACGAACAATACTCTCTACCCTCCGACGTTAAATGGATAGTATTTGGTGGTTCTTACTCCGCTTCTCTAGCTGCATGGTTGAGACTAAAATATCCCGATTTGGTGCAAGGAGCCGTGTCGAGTAGTGGTCCTCTTTTGGCAAAACTGGATTTTTATGGTAAACATTGAAACTTTTAAATAGTAAACACAATCATGTTTTTCAACTAACTTTCAATTGATTATAACAAATTTATTAGTCGGCCGTCTTGTTTAGTTTCATATGATTAAATTTTTTCTAAGTTAGAAACAATGATTGAGCTTTGATCCTATTCGCGAAAGGATTCAATTTTCTTATACTATAGGAGCTTTTCTAATTTTAAATCCAAATGGGATTGGCTGATTTACAATATGAAGGAAATCTACTTCCACATATTTAAACATTTATTTATATGTGCTTTAAAACAGTTGCCATTTCGAAAATATATTTGTTTTCAATATTGTCAATGAGCGTTGTTGTGTAGGCAAACAGTTACCTACAGCACTTAAGTCTTACGACCCATCGAACACTATCTCAAAATATAAAATACATCAAATTCGTCTATTGCAACTTCTTTTATGTTACTATTATTACATTCATTGAATTGACCAAAGTGCTTATAAATTTAAATGAATAAGAATAATATATATGAATAATAAGAAAAAAATATTGCTTCTTCATTTATTCCATTTCTTCCCCGTTTTCTAATTTTTGTAACATAACTTATTTTTATTTTTCAGAATATTTTCAGGTAGTCATTGACGATTTGGCTACTGTCAGTAAAGAATGTGTGAACAGTCTTACAACGGCTATGAGTCAAGTAGATGATTTATTATATAATCCTAGTGATGAGGAGTCCCTTACAAGCATATTTAACTTATGCGAACCCATTGAAGGTCTTGACGTAGATGGTTTCGAAGTTGCAAATTTCTATACCACTTTAGCAGACGCCTTCGCTGAAGTAGCGCAGTATAATGGGTTGCTTGAAGTTACGATTGACAATCTGTGTGACATATTGACTGATCAAAATGGAAGCAAAGAAATAATTCGCCTGTCTAATGTCATTAGTACGGTATATGGCACGCAAAACGGATGTTTAAGTTACGACTATGCGAACTATGTAGCGTACTTGAAGAATACTCAAACAAATGGGGATTGTAAGTAATATTATTAGGACCTTTCTTATATATAGTTATGGATGTTGCTAACGATTCATAAAGTATTGAGTAACTGTTAAGTTAAATATAAAATATTATGTGGAAAATGCAAGGGTAATTGTTTTAGATCGTCAGTGGATATATCAAACTTGCACCGAATACGGCTGGTACCAAACAACGAACAGAGATGATAAAGTATTTGGAAAAGGATGCTCAGTAGACTTGTATACAAACCTATGTGCAGAGGTCTTTGGACAATCGTTTAATGAAACCTTCATCAATGCTCAAATCGACCGAACAAACGCAAATTATGGTGGAATTGATATCGCTGTATCAAACGTGGTTTATGTACATGGCTCTCTGGATCCTTGGCACGCTGTTGGACTTACAGAAACTACAAATCCTGATTCTCCTGTCATATATGTTGAAGGTAAGAATTTCAAAAAGAAATAGTTAAAGATGAGTAGGTGCCTAGTAATATGTGAGTGGAAACTCACAAATATAACTGTTTTATGCTGTATTAGTATTCCTCCTGTAAGAAACTAATGATGTAGTTTTTTAATTACAAATTCATTTTCAGGGACGTCTCATTGTGCCAATATGTTATGAGACTACAGTGAACGAATTGCCACAACTTACCGCGGCTAAAAATGAAGTTGATAGACTCATTGGAGTATGGTTAAGCCTCAATTAACGATATTTTGATCATCGTTATCCTGTTCTTTATAAAAATGTATATTATATATTCCTGATTAAAAATATATAATTTCGTTTATACCTAATTTCAGTGCAGTCCAATCTTTCGTGTCCATATTGAGATTCGATATATATATTTAAAAAAGCCACTGACATGAAGTTGATTAAAAGATCAGAAAAAGCTAAAAAAATTATTGAGAAGCACAAGCAAAAAATAAAAATTCTTGCTTTATTTCTCTTGATGGTGGTCTAGGTCATAGCCTTGTATTTGTTTATACTAGTTGGCTTGGCCAACGCGACGATATCGGGATATGCAAGAATCAGTATTTCTTACATTCCTGACTTATTAAAAGCTCCTAATACATTTCACTTTAAAACTTTTTTCACTGTTCATTTTTTTAGTCTGTTTCCGATCCTTTATATCCTGTTGATTTATAATATATATATTATGGTCCCAAATATGACATTATTTACAGTGATAGCTGAAGTCATCGCATTATATAATAATAATTACTTTTCTATACAGGGTGTTTCTTAATAACGTGCTAATATTTAAGGAGGTTATTCTTGGGTCCATTTTAAGAAAAAAACTTCATATGTACATATGTCTTAAAAGTCTTAACTTTTGAACTACGGGGTGCTAAAGTTTTATGAAAAAACATTTTTTTATGATAACTGGTATTACCTACCCTAGATATTTTTTCAAATTTGGTACACGCCTTCTATTCATCGAGATGCATTTTCTGAAGTAAAAACAATTTTATTATTTTTTATATTGAATATTTTTGAAGAAAAATATGTTACGCCACTGCTTTTTCTTAAAGTAAAAATCATTTTTGAAATTCTCATTCCTTTTTGAGCAAATGTGATATCTTGAATTTTTTTCGTTTTACTTACGGTTTTCGCATAAAAAAATAAAATCCATTCATTTGCATCTTATTGGACCACTTACGAGAAAAAAACAGATTTACGTAACTTTGAACAATAGTTTATTTAAGATAATAACTTTTAAACGTTGAAATTATGAAATTACAGTAATCTACATATATTTTGGAATGGTAAAAGAAAATTACCCTGGCGTAACATATTTTTCTTTAAAAATATTCAATACAAAACCTGTACAGACGCCACTGGCAAAAATAACAAAATTGTTTGTACATCAGAAAATGCATCTCGATGAATAGAAGGCATGTACCAAATTTGAAAAAAATCTAGGGAAATACCAAAGTTATCATAAAAAAATGTTTTTTCATAAAACTTTAGCACCCTGTAGTTCAAAAGTTAAGACTTTTAGGACATGTTCATATGAAGTTTTTTTCTTAAAATGGACCCAAGAATAAATATTAGCACGTTATTAAAAAACACACTATATATTTATTAACATTTTGATGGAAAATGTCTAAAATATAAACATTTCACTATTTAGTAAACGTTGGTGGGTTCTGTCCTCCATTTATCAGCTCATTTAGCCCCTCTTCGCAATCTTTGTAACAAACAAAGGATAAAGGTGTATTGTTGGTCACATATTAATGTAGTGTTTATGCGGTTTATGGTAATTTGAAGAAATAAATTATTATGCAGTCTGCTCAATTAAGGCTATGATTTTTAGACAAAAAAATCTTATCAAATATGGTCTATAAGATAATTTCTAATAAAACTTGACTTTAAATCATAACTTGTAAATTGACCATTTTTAAGTTCATACTGCAAATTTATCTATTCAATTTTAAGTCGGGGGATTTTGATGGCAGCAAAATTTTTTATGTTCAAATTTGCAACCTATAGATCTCCACACTTCTTGACCCTGAAAAGTTTTTAGTTGCGTAACAAGGCCGGTGTCCCATGCATCCGAAATCCGACGATACGAAGGTCCGAAAGTGTTCCTATTGGTTAATATACATTCAAATTTTTACCGCTCATTTTCATCCGAAATTTTTTAAATTCATACGACGTCGGAAAAAGTAGAAATAATTTTAACTTTTATCCGAAATCGTATGTTTTTTAACCTCACTTTTTATTTCTTAACATGCTATGATTGTTGTTTGGTATATTTACAATCAAATAAATGTTATATTATAATGTCGAATGTAGAAAATATAATACTACGTATATTTTCTACGATATATACCTATGGTTGTCATTTGAAAATGTTTCACCTTCATCTTGTAATAAATTCCATGGTTCTATACTTGATTTCTATGAGATTAATTTCGGATGCATGTGAATTATAATATTATCATTCGTACGAATTAAAATATTATCGGATATCGTACGTCGGATATCGGATGCATGGGACACCGGCCTAATACAGCATTAAAATATTAAACTATTGAGTGCTCTCCCTAGCTCCTTGCTCTACGGTAGTTCCGCCACTGGAACACTGAACCATAATTAGAACGTTACAATATATTAGTACATTCTTCTTCACTTATCATAAAAAATATATCCCTATCAAATTGAAGATACCTAAATGAAGATGAAGCCGGTCTTAATTTAAATTAAAATAACAGGTAAATACTAGTAGTAGAGTGGAATGCCTGCTCTGTAGACTTATCGTACTCAAATTATTGAATTTGTCAGAGTTTCAGAGTACTGAAAAAATCATGTAAATGTAAGTTTATTGATTATCCCGTCAGCGATACCGGCTTCAGCTACCACGTTGCGCAAGTGCGTCAGCCAGACACGAAAGTGGCGAGAGACGAGAACAACTTGTTGCTTGCTGCAATTCATTTCATTGGTTCATTGGGTTTCATGCTACATATAGATGTACCTAAATATCGACGTTTAGTAGTGCTCTTAGTTTTATTATAAATCGTAGTTTTTTAAATTCCGTATATTTAATACTGATATTTAACTTCCCACTATGTCCAGTTATCATAAATTAGAAGCGAAAGTTGTTCAAGAACTCAAGGATATCGCTAATAAAATAAGAATTAATTCCATCACGTCAACACAGGCTGCAAAATCTGGGTAAGTTTACATTTTAAATAATAATATTTATTAGAACGAATAATTTTATGTATTTTAGTATAGGTTCACAAATAACGGATGCTAGAAAGTATTCATTAGATCAACCTGTAACGTAGTTTTCTCATACCTTCTACTGTTAATTAACCGGTACTAAATAATACAGTACAATGTCAGTAATACAACGAATATAGTGAGTTAGCATATTTAGTAACACTAGAAGTTATGTCTTACCATCAATTCTTAGTAGTTAGTACCATAAATTGTTAAAAGGTAAATATTTTAGGAATACTTTAGGAATGAATGATTTAAATCATAATATAATTTAGCAGTGAAATTTTAACTGCGCTTATCGTAATCGTTGTAACCAACAAATTTGTAGATAGTTACAGGTACATTCTTCATATTTCTCAAAATGTATTTGAACATTAAGTAGCAGATCAAATTTTATTTCTTTTAATACCTACCTATAATCGAGACTTTATCATAATATTAATTGGCTGCTTTAATTTTGAAACAGAAAGTTTACAAACAAAACTGCTCAGATTATGCCATTAATTAACTATAATTTATTAACGAAAATTATGTAGGTGCATGATCAATGTGTACACATGAAATACATCAGGACGCCACATGTTGGTAAATAAATTGCCTCTATTCCATGAGCGCCGTGTTGAGGGGGCGAGAGGGGACAGTTGCCCCTCCTAGAAGTTTTTTAGCAGTTAAATGCAATGCAGGTACAATAGGAAACGCCAAGTAATTGTTCAATAATCTAATTAAATCTAAATAACATTTTTTGTTATTACATAAAAGCAGGTTAAGTATTCTGATATTTTAAATTTGGCTCTTCTTCCCCTTTTTTCTGGGTTAACGGCGCTCATGCTGTATTCTTTGGAATTCTTCGATCTAAGAGAGTATCTAACAGTTTTCTTTTTTTAATATGAATTTTCCCATTAGTACACTAGTATAATGTGGATAGATTTTTTATTCTTCAACCTCTAGTGTTTGAAACTTATAATCAATATGTTCTCATTCCCGTAATTTTCAAAATTGAATATATTCTTTAAAAAATTATTTTTAGTTTTATTCTTCTCGATACATTTGTTTTAAGTTCGTTTTAAGTTTAACTTTGCAGAATGTTTTTTTAAGTTTGGATTATCGCTGATTGGAACTGATTGATGATCGACTTGCACTCTGACGTGATAGCTAGGTTTTACTTCGTGGTTCCCTAGTTTCCGAAATTCGAAACAGAGGCGATTTTTGCAGCAAGTTGTCGGCGGCTGCTCTGCCAACAGCATCGGCCTCCGGCGGTGTCGTCTGCTGCGGCTTCAGTGTTTAGGAGCGGCTGGGAATTTCTTAGAAACTTTCACCGAAAATTTTGGAAAGTCAGTTAAAAATATTATTTTCCGCGCCGCGCCTTCTGCTTCTTACGAAAGTTTTGGTCCCCGTGGTTGGAGACACGATTGGGAAACTGAGCGAAAATTTGAAATATGCTTGAAACCTGAAATGTGAAGTTCCAATTCTTGACCTTTACCTATCGGCCGTTTCCAAATTCTGTTTTTTTAATTTCAGAAATAGAAATCCAGGGAAATCGAAATAATTTCAATTGAGACGATGGATTGGAGCTAGTACTTGGAATTTTTAAAATACTAATAAGTAAAGGTCAAAGACCGGAACGTAACAGGCGAGTGGCTTCATACGAAACACTGGAACGCCATGACGGCGAGAAGTTTGGTTCCGATTTATTTAACTGTCATTGTAAATAAAAAATAGCAAACATAATTTTTCTTATAAATACTGTTCGGAATTAAACACACTTATACAATTTCCAAAATACCACTGCGCAACATGAGGCAAACAGAAAATTTTTGTCATAATATATTTTTATTATATACTTTTTCATTTATTGATATTCGTCTGTGAAATTTGGTAGTTGTAAACAAATATACAATTTTTATAGTTCACTGCATATTAAGAAAATAGAAACATTTCAACTTTTTAGTCTGTCAAAAATGACAAGTTTTAAAAATATAGAGGCCTTATAGGGATAGCTACATATTATTAAGTACACTTTGAATACTTACAAATACTTAATAAAATCAAGTTAGTAAACCTAAATTTTTATAACATTCTTACTTATTATACGTAGGTATGTTTAATAGTAGATTATTCTTTATAAACTTCCTTAATTGGAGGGTTTTGTGGTAGCTCTTCAGTAATGTGTTAATACATTATTGGAGATGAATAAACTTAGACGTTTAAATCTATTTATTCATAATAAGATCTACCTACTTTAAAGTAGGAAAATGAAAAACATGTTTGGTACATACGTAAGTGTAACGGACATTTGCAGCATAAGTGCAAAACAAAAATAACACCACATACATATTGTTATTTTTTGTAAGAGATGCTTATCTATATATAATTTATGTCCATACGAAATTAAAATCAATATTTTTTAAGAAAAGCAGTCTATTTATTACACCAAATCAATATCTGCTTTGTAGCAAACAGTTGTATAAATAGAAAGAGGCTTCTATAGGCATTCTGAAATTCTAAAGTAACTTCTGCAATAACGATCCGATTTCGATGAGTTTTGCGCCATAAATAGTCGAATTAAACAAGTGCCATAGAAGTAAAATATTAATACAATTTTTGTTTCTTGCACTGTCAATTTAGTTTTAAGAAAATGTCATTTCAAAATTAATTGCGGCCTGAATACTTACACTAACTTGCACTAGCTAAATACTTGAAAAAATAAAGATGCTCACGTTAATACATTAAAATTAAATAAAAGTTAATTCGCTTAAAAAAAAACGAGGACGAAAATATTCAGTTAAAAACAAAAAATAAATAAATTGTTATTCTAAGTCGGAAGGTATGAAAAAATTCTGACAGCCGGACTGTGCGCAGCAAAGTGACGAAGCGAGCGCATACGCAAAAGTGAATTTCCCACTAATTTGTGGCTTAATAGTCAGAGTTTTCTCCTGAACTATTATTTTCCAACTTTTCCCCAACTATTTGGTACAGGAAGGAAGCCAATGAATTGTAATATTAATCTATTTAGTGTTCCTCGTAATTTTTATAGATTTTTATAGAAAAAAACGGGAAATTTTATGACACCCCCTGCTGTAGATTGACACTACTCTGACCTTCACCGCCCAGATGAAATAAGTTGAGTTGTTTAAATACTACTAGCAGTACAATTAATTTTAAATTGAAATGAATTACTTATTCAAATGACAACTCCATATTTCATGCCTTAAAATTGCGAATTTCAACCCTGTCCAAAAACGAGGGTTCCAAGGGCAAGTCGATATACAGGATGTTTGCAAATAAGTGCGAAATATTTTAGGGGGTGGTTGCCGAAGTTATTTTGTGAAAAAAAGTTCATAGGTCGAAATATGCTTCGCTTCCGAGATACAGCGTTTAAATTTTAATTTTTTATTTATTATTAATTATTTCAGAGTATCTCGAAATCGAAGAATTTTTTACCCGCATTCATATCAACTTTTTATTTTCAATGTTGAATTACATTTTATTTTGACCATAATAACGCTTTATTAAAAGAGACCTAATAAAAGATTTACAAAATCTACAATAAAATATGTTTTTTTTCCCTCAAAATCGGTGCATCGTACGAATAAAATTTCATTTTCATTCAGAATTGATGGCAGATTTCAAAAAAAAAAAATTAAAATGGGAAAAAGTCAGTAGCGTACCATTTTTTTTTATTAAAAAAGTTTGTGGCATTCTCGCACGAACGCCACTGGTGTAAGTAAAAATATTCATATCGCCAAAAAATGCACATTTATCCCTCCAAAGCATTTTTCAAATTTCGAGTCAATATCTTTAAAACTGAACTAATTAATGAAAATAAATAAAAAATGAAAATTGTAACACTATCTCGGAAACGAAGATACGACACGTTTATCTGAACTTTTTTCCACAAAATGACTTCGGCAACCACCCCTTTAAATATTTCGCAATTATTTACAAACACCCTGTATAAGAAACCATTCTTGCTCCTTCATTTTTGACATATATTTAAATGCATACATCCCGAGTAATTATAACCTTACAAAAATTTTCAGACATCCAACATCATGCTCTTCCATTGCCGAAATACTGTCTGTTTTATTTTTCAACACAATGCGATACAAAGTATCCACTCCAAGAGACCCATCAAGCGACAGATTTATCCTGTCCAAGGGTCACGCTTGTCCTGCTTTATATGCGGCTTGGGCTGAAGCTGGACTTTTCCCAGTTTCGGATTTACTGAATCTCAGGAAAATTGATTCAGATCTGGAAGGACATCCCACACCGAGGTTAAATTTTATTGATGTTGCTACTGGTTCATTAGGACAGGGCTTGGCTATTGCTGGAGGAATGGCCTTTGTTGGAAAAAATTATGATAAGGCCAACTACAGGTAAGTCTAATACTATATCTACATAATGATATATAATAATTTAACTGTAGGTATGACAGTCAAAATTACAGCCCAATTTTTTTTTTTAGAGTTTACTGCCTTGTCGGGGATGGAGAAAGTGCCGAAGGATCTATCTGGGAATCAGTTCATTTCGCCAGTTATTACAAACTGGATAATTTGTGTGTTATATTTGATGTTAACAGATTGGGACAAAGTCAAGAAACATCATTAGGTCATGATGTAGAAAATTATCGTAAGCGTCTTGAGGCCTTTGGAATGAATGCCATCGTTGTAGATGGGCATGACGTTGAAGAATTAGTTAAGGCTTTTCATATAGCTTCTAATACTAAAGAAAAGCCGACCGCTATTGTAGCAAAAACTTTGAAGGGTAAAAACTTCCCTATGATTGAAAATGTAGATAATTGGCATGGAAAGCCTTTGGGAGAGCATTGCGAAAAAATTATTGAACACTTAAAAAGCCTGATTAAAAACTCTGGATCATTGCAAATTCATCCACAGAAACCATTAAAAGATGATGCGCCTCCAGTAGATATAAGCAACATCAAACTTTCTTCTCCTCCAACATACAACATTGGCGACTCTGTGGCTACTAGAGTAGCTTATGGAAATGCTCTAGTAAAAATTGCTCAAAGTAATTCTAGAGTTATTGCCTTAGATGGAGACATGAAGAATTCCACGTATTCTGAAAAAATGAAAAAATTTGATGCTTCAAGGTATATAGAATGTTTCATCGCCGAACAAAGCCTTGTGGGTACAGCTATAGGAGCTGCTTGCAGAGATCGTACTGTTCCTTTTGTTTCTACATTCGCAACATTCCTGACTAGAGCTTTTGACCAGGTATTTATATATATTGTAATGCTATGCTTACTATGACCATTTCAATTCATTTGATAATGTGTGAGCGTATTTTAAAGAATATGTTTTCTATTTTGTACGAAAAGTGTCTTTAAACTTACCACTCAGTTGAATATACTGAAAATAACTCACAAAAAACATATTTACATACAATTTTAAATGTAAAATTGAAGGAATAAATGTGCAAACACAACTCCCAAAACATTAAAATATTTTAAAATTTAATTTTTTGCATAAAATTCTTGCACATTTGTTTGTGGATGGAATAATTTTAGAAATATTTTTAATATATTCAGCTGTGATGTGAGTTTAAATTTGAAAAAATATGAGTCTAAAATTACTCGTGTTTTGTAATAAAATACAATTACGAGTCAAATGCCTCCCAACATATTTCGAAAAAAGTAGCTTAGAAAAGGTTAATGTATTTGTGAATTTTTGCTTTTAATTAATTAAACCATTACTTAGTACAAGTTTCATCAATTTTTGTAGAATATCTTCAGATATTCGAAAAAATGTGATTTAAGTAAATAAATAAGAAAGTATGAACATTAATGTTAAGACATTGGGAAAAAAACATTACACACTCATGTTTTTTTAAACTGTAATTATAAATAGAATTTATGATCAGAAAAATTGTTTATTTTTAGTTCCACTTTGATAGATCCGTGACCCCAAGTTTCATTGACCTCAAGTTTCACCTGCCTGTATCACATATCCTTACAAACATTTTAGAAACTGATACATATTTTTTTCAAATTTTAACACATTTTTTGCTTATAATAATTGGTTCTATCACCTTTCTGTTCCGTCAATATATCAAATGTTCCTTTTGAAACATCCTTGAAGTAATTTTATTATACAAAACTATTTTTACAGATTCGTATGGGTGCTGTGTCACAGACAAACGTTAATTTTGTTGGATCCCACTGCGGAGTAAGCATCGGGGAAGACGGTCCTAGCCAGATGGGTCTTGAAGATATAGCACTATTTCGAACTATTCCTGGAAGTACAATTTTCTACCCTGGGGACGCTGTGGCAACCGAACGTGCCATAGAACTTGCTGCCAATATGAAAGGAATTACCTTTACTAGAGTAAATCGAAACCCAACACCTATAATCTATTCTAATGATTATGCCTTTGAGGTGAGAAGCTATTCGTTAATAATTGTGTATAATTTAGTTTGTGTTATATTCTTCTGACTTTACACATTTTTTTGACAAAAAATATGACATCCTTCCGTATCGTACTTATTTTTAATGAAAGGGCCAGTAAATAAACCAAAATATTGTGCAAACTGTTGGCAAATATATGCATGTAGCCTTTTGCAGACGCTCGTACATTGATATTATTGTTAGTTAATATATTTATGAATTTTCAGTTTAGTAAATTATTTATTTATTTTAGGTTGGTAAAGCAATAGTTGTGAAGAAGTCTGAGAAAGATAAAGTCGTCCTAATAGGAGCTGGCGTTACTCTGCATGAAGCTATATCTGCTGCAGATGAACTGGCTAAGATTGGAATTAATGCCAGAGTTATCGATCCGTTCACTGTTAAACCTCTTGACAAAGAGACGATTATTAAGAATATTACTGAAGTTGGTGGCAGGGCAGTTGTTATAGAAGATCATTATTATGAAGGTGGTTTGGGCGAGGCTGTACTTTCGGCTGCAGCTATGGAACGAAATATTATTATTAAACATATTGCAATACCTAAAATACCTCATTCTGGGCCTGCGGCTAAGCTTATGGATTTATATGGAATATCGGCCAAACACATTATAGCCGAGGCCCAAGAAATATTAAAATACTGAGATGAATGTTTTTTACATATATTTTTGTCGGATTTATAAATAAATTGGAAAATTATGTAATAGCAGTTATTTATTATTTTATAGATTTGTTTATACCTAGTTCAGTTAAAAACACAAGTAAAACGGTATATGTCACCTTTAGTGAAGAGAAAAAAGTGAACAAAGAATTTGAAACTGGGTAAAAGTTAGGGGATGTTGAAATTAAAACAGTTATTTTTGGAAATTGCTCAAAAATTAATGAAACGACCAAGAGTTATTAAATCAAAAGTTTTAATAAAACTAAAATTTCAGTACTTAACTTTTTCGTTGCTAAGAAAGCTTTTAAGAAGCGTTTGTGTCAACCGCATACGAACATACACTCTTAGAGCAGACTACTCCTTTATCACAAGAGTATAATATGCTTGTAAAATCTATAATAGAAAAAACGTTAAAAAAGAATGCTTTAGTATTAGTTAAAAAAAAACGAGTGGCATCCAGATTCGGAGAAAGAAGGGAAGATGTTCCTACAGATGAAAAAATTTGTGGGATGGACCACACTACGTCCGGCAAATTAAGTGTCGAGAAAAATTTATCGACTCTAAAATGCATTAACCAGTCAGGTCTGATGTAAAAATCATGTGAAAAATTAACACACTTCGAGCGAGACGGGCCCATTCTATTTTTTTTCGAGCACTTCGTTGTATTATTCTAAGATAAATAAGCAACAATTTTATCGAGGATAACGTATTCTCGAAAAATCAACAAAAAGAATATTTTCAAGAGTGTGGTATCATATCTGGAGACATTATGTATAAATACATATATACAGGTTTTCAAAATTCTGTGGATTGTGTGAATTGTACATAATTAATTTTAAATCAAACCTACTTGCAATATACCTAACTAATAACTATACCTTTATATTTTGTGCTTCAAAAATTAGATTAAGTGATCGTCACTCTGTGCCAGACAAGACGATTGCCACTATCCATATTTTATCGGACACTGGTGGACCGATGTTCCTTTCTACAGTGTTGTCATTGTATTTCTAAATATTTTCAGTGTTATCAGTACCAGCGTGTCAGGGTTTATGGAATACATTGCCACTTTAATCAAAGGTAAGTAACGTTTATTTGTGCCTCTTAGAATTTATAGGTAAACAATAAAATGTAGAACAGCATAAACTGCAGACGTCCTATGTTGATATATGTATGCAAAGGTAGGCCACCATCAAACACTCAAAATAAATGTTACAAATAATTTCTTGTAATTGTAATGCTTATGTAAATCTCAGCTACTTAAATAAGTATAATAAACTATTATCACAATGTAGATAGATCAGTAAAGCTGTACTTTCGAAGCAAACAAATTTCAGAATTCATTCATACTAGGTACTTTTATGTCTAATATCCGTAGCATTACCTACCTTTGTTGTATGCTTTGTGGACAGTTTTGTTTAAAATAAATATTTCCTAACATTTATGTTTTTGCAATATGTATGAGATATTGATAAATAAATAAAAAAACTGTAATACTTAAAATATGTCTATTTCCTTTTGGTAATTATTTACTTTAGTGGCACCACCTCCAATTTTCACAAAATTTTGTCTACCCCCTTATTTTCGATGGTGCTGAACACGAATCTGCAGTTTTTTTGTGCGGTCGAACCTAGTTTTCGAAAAAAAAATTTTTCAAAATTCTAACCTGGATATTTCAGATAACACTACGTAGAACTCTATATATTTTATGTAGCTTTCCAGAACACCATCGAAAATAGGGGGGTAGACAAAATTTTGTGAAAATTGGAGGTGGTGCCACTAAAGTAAATAATTACCATTTTACCAAAACTACGAAAATATTTTTACAAAACAAAGATAAAAAACTTAATACTTTACATCCTATATTATATTTGTAATGAAATATTTCACTTTAACTGACAATAGCATCACTCCCAGACTATATAATTGGATATTTTTTGCAATAGTTTGTAATATTAAAAGGTTGGGGTAACACCATTATTTAAATACCCTATAATATTTAAACAATGGTAACACCACAAAACAATAAGTGTGGTTTGGGTTTGGGTCGATAAAAAAATGCTATTTGTGAATTAAAATTTAAATCAGCCATCATTACGACGCGTTCCCTTACTAAAGCTCACCACAAACCTGTCAAAAATGGGAAAGTGATCAGCCTCTGGCTGTGGCTGTATTCACTATTCAATTCAGTAAATTGAATAAAAATTGTAAAATTGTTAATCTGTCTGTGGCTTGTTTATTTAAAAATGATGCGAGTTCCATATAGAGCGTTTAATATTTTAAGCAAAGTTTTTAAACCAAAATCTATTATTATTGATAATAAAAACTGCACAGCTATAATAAAACTATCTTATACACAAAATAAGTGTTATTCGAATGGTATGTGATAGGTTATGTTAATTTTTAAATAAAACTGATTTTCTGATAGGCGTGTTAACTGATTTTATTGTAGACGTTAAAGTTAAATCACCATTAGATAATTTAATAACCAAAGATGGTGGAGAAAAAGAACAAGAAAAATCTAACGAAGATAAAAAGCAAAGAGAACAATCATGGAAAGCTATGAAATTAACGTTAGCTGTTTTTGGCATATCTTTTACATGTATGGGTGTTTATCTTGTCGTTACATTAGGATCTCCTGAAAGAGACATGGATGGTAAACCTATTAGAGATGATTTGTTTGATCAAAATATAATAAAACAGTATATAGTTAGAACTTATAGAGAGTTGGATTACTACAGAAGAGTGAGTTAATATTAGTAAACCAGAGTTTCGACATGCAATGGTTACTGGAGCCTAGAGATGTGTCGTTCAGGAACGATTCGTTCAAAAAGAATGAATCGGATTGCTGAATCAGATGAATTCTGATTCACTCATTTGGGAACTCTGACGGCCAGTTTTGTTTCAACGTTTCTATTTTGACATAATTCATGAACAATAGTAACTAAAAGAATCAGTCATAGCCTTGAACCAAATGTATATCAAATGAAATGAGAAATAAAAGTGTACCAAATTATTGAGGGTCAAATCTTTTTAAAAAAATTAAAAATTTTACTTTTTTTTGGCCTATATGTTAGTGTTGCCTGTCAGGTGGCATCGGCAATCACTGCATGAGGAAACTCTTCTTAACTTTTGGATATGGCCTCAAAGTTTATGTAGAATCTTATTTTGCTTTTACTTGGATTGCTCTAATTCAAGTAAATTTACTTGACAGAAGTAATTGAACAATAATATTATCTAAAAATCTAAAAAAAAATATGGGGAATATAATACGGTGAAAATATATTCATAACTACATTACATATTAGAGCTGTGTCGCTCCAAAGGATAACCGAAACATATTAATTTAAAAGTAATATTTTTTTATAATCGGTTTTAGACAGTTTCACTTGTCTAGAAAATGTGATTTAGATTAATGTTTTTTAAGAATAGAATTGATATGCAGTGAAAATTGGTTATAACGGCCTTCAAAGGACCGTTTGTTTACGGTTGTTATAACCGATAAGACGTAATAAGTAATTACATATATTTTATTTAAAATTTTTATAGAAAAAATGAGAAATTTACAAGTCTTTAAGTATGTACTTGTATTGCTTTGCGTACAAATGATCTCGCGCGCTTCATTTTCAATGAATTATTTTCGAATAGACTTTATTTTATTTCTATCCTTCCAAATTGTTGAAATCGTGGTGTAACACGCCACATTCTTTTGCTTGTTTGCACGGATTTCTCTGTCTTTAATTTCTATATTATATGTGACTTTTCTTCGTTATTAAAACACTTTTCTCTTGGACATCGTGATGGAAGGTGGTAATTTATACATATAATATAACTGTATGCGTAGAAAAGTCATAATTTCTCCCAAACGTATGGAAGAGCGGTGCATTGGTTTTAAGGCCGTATATCACTATTGGTCATTATAACCAATAGATTCTATGGTAAATGTATATAAAAACGTGTCGCTAAATCCGAATTGTCGTTGTAAACGGTGTCGTACTAACTTCAGTAGACGATTATGTAAGAGGAAATTTAGAACAACATGTAGATCAAAATACTGTTTTCTGTTATGCTTTAATAGACAAAATAAACATAGCCATTTTATCACAAATAAACTTACTTTTTTACATCTTTGATTTTCAACAATTTTGGAAGTTAGTGAATACTCCCAAATTCACATTATTTCTAAAGAAGACAAATTATATATTAGTAACAGTTAAATATGCCATACTTGACAGGGATGGCCAGTATATTGTAAATTTACATTTTCAAGACACTAAACCATATTTTCAAAATTCACACTCTATTGCACTTCAATTTTTATATGGATTTGAGAGACAGTTAATAAAAAATTTCTGCCTTATATAAACAATGGACTTCAATCAAATATTTTATACCACATTGCTGCCTCATAATTTTTATTATTAACTTTGTTAACATACAACCGCAAAATTCTGATTTTGCAAAAAAGTCTGTTTCGTCAAATACAAACCTGCAGTGTATGATTTACTCGCGGACTTAATTATCAGTATGCACCTACTCACGCCGGCTCTTATTTAATTCCCTTCTACCAGGTAGTCTAATATCTGTCTGACCATCTAGAGATAGTGTCTATAACAAATATTCATAAACAAATTTAAAAATTAATTTGACATCGCACAATCATTTTATAAAATTATAAAATTCTACATTTAAAAAATTGTATAATTTTAAATTTTCATGTAATACAATTAGAATCTCTATTTTTGGTTAAATATGTCCTGAAATGATTTAATTCAAATAAAATGAAAAATTTCCATATCAAACATGATTTTAAATGTTTCAATTCATTAACAAGAAGTTTTACATTATTCAGGAAACATGGTATTTATAGGAGCAAATATTAGCATTATTTAAATTACTATAAGTGTATGAAATATTTTCAATTGAAAAAAGTGAGGCTGTATCCAATGTACAAGGTGCTTAATAATTATTGGAAAATGTATCGATGAGTAGTAGAACTTATCAAAATAAGAAAAAAAAATCGTTCACAAAAGTATTCAAAAACGCGAAGTGCAAAATATATGATCAGTAGGCCTCAAGAGACAATATGTCATAAAAAATTGTCTAATTTTTTTCTTATATTGATGAGCTCTATAATCACTAAAATTCCTATAAGAGAGTTGTTTTCAGCTCATTAAAGAACCATCAAGAGAAAAGTTGTTACCAGATCCTTTAGAGTATCCATATTTGCAACCTAAATATACGTTGGTATTGGAGTTAACTGATGTTCTTGTTCATCCAGATTGGACATATAATACTGGTTGGAGATTTAAAAAACGACCATGTAAGTTATGACTAAATTTTCGTTTAATATGTATTATAATGCATTTATTTTATTTTTAGTGTTAGATTACTTCCTAGAATCTTTGCATGGATCATACGAAATTGTAATTTATACCGCCGAACAAGGAATGACAGTTTTTCCCTTAATAGAAGCCATAGATCCAAAAAATATAATTGCGTATAAACTTGTTCGTGACGCAACACATTTTAGTGGAGGCCATCATGTTAAAAGTTTAAATAATCTAAACAGAGACTTAAGTAAAGTAATATGCATAGATTGGAACCCAAAAAATGTTAAATTTAATCCAGAAAATTTACTTAATATTAAAAGATGGTCTGGTAACGATAATGACACTTCTCTTCTAGATTTAGCAGCTTTATTAAAGAGTATGTGGTATCCATCACAATGTAATCTATTTTATTTCTCTCAAATTTGTTTTAGCAATTGCAGACAATGATATAGAAGATGTGAGAGAAGTTTTGAAATATTACAGCAAATATGACGATCCAGTTGCAGCTTTTAGAGAAAAACAAAAGAGATTGATTGAGGAACTTGAGGCACAAGCTGTTGCCAAAAAAGAACAGGAACCCTCAAAAGCGTCAAGATGGACACCAAATATTTTTAATAGGAGACCTTTTTAGAATTTGAAGATGTTTTATATTGCCATGTGAAAATTAAAATATAAGAAATAAAAAAAAAATTTAAGATTTTTAAAATTTATTTTATGAAGAATAAAATTACACCTGCGCTACAAGGATTACTTGTTTGGTTGATTTTGCAAACTTATTTTTTATTGTAGCTATTTATTAAATACGTCTGATATTGATATGTTGATAGGCATACATCACGAAGTATAAGTAAACCTAATATATATATTTTAAAATAATTATTTTTGCTTTTTTCTAAAATATACATAATAAAAAATGAATTTAACACATACTAGCAGATAGACTTGAAATATTTTGTTTTAAAATCATTTTTAAATGTTTATTGAGAATTATTTAATACTAAAGTCTTTAAAGCACTGTGTTGAGTTTGTGAATCTCAGTGTTAACCTCTGACATTGACCTAGTGCTACATAATATCAATCCACCTGATGGGATATGACAACAGAACACTAGGCAGGCAAAAAACAAACCGCCAACGAATTGAGAATGGCGGAATATGCCACAGCTTCGGTTTATTACATTTATCTCAGTTTATCTGTTTACAAGAAGGTATTTATATACAGTACATAATTTCGCGACATTCTGCTTGAAGTATAAGTTTGTACTGGAATCTAAATAGAATGTATATAATGCAGTATAAAGTTTTGTGAGGTTTAATTTTACAGAAAAATGTAACGTGGTATTTAGTGAAGCTTTTTGTGAAGGGTAAATGTATAACTATAACTTTATTTATTTCATTGTTTAATGACGGTACGGTGTGTTTGTGTGTCTTCATCATTAGATTTATGTGTGATTTGAAAAAATATGAATACGAATCAAGAAAAATTTAAGTTTACACCCTGTATACATACATGCAATTATGCAAACTGCCAATATAAACAATGTGTATTTCAGTAGTCTATGGTATTTCGGTTATCTGTTGTTTCCACTGATTTATAGGACTGGTTGTTTTTCAACGAACGTGCCGCAACAATGCCATCTACCTAAAACTCAAGTAACTTGTGATGGAAAGAACAAATAAGAGAATACTTTCTGTATGCTAGAACTACCAATTGTTCTCCTAGAGCTAACTACTTGTTTGAGCTCAGGAAACTCTTAATAGATGGCTCTCTTGTAATTTAACTAGGTGGTAAATTTAAAATTAATAATAATGAATATACTGCAGCTGTGTTTATTTACCGAAGTCGCTTAATCGAACAATCAACTTTCAAAATAGTTGAGATTAACTGAGATCTGAGGGAAATAAAATACATTTTATGGCAATATTAATCATTTATCGAAAATAATCAGCCACAAACTTTTTTACGGCAAAAACGTTTGGTACTATAAATGTAAATTCCTATTTAATAAAATTGTATTAAACTGATTTGACAAATGACAGACATATATGTTTGTATTGGCTTTACAAGCTAGCTATCGTGTCTTTCCTACTATTTGAGTCTTATCGGTACAATGTACTACTGTTTAAAAGAGTTAAATAGTAGGTACTTTATGTAGTAGCTATATATTTCAATAATTATTTTAAAAAGTGTTCATTAGGAACAATTCTACTACTACGTAGGGTACGTAGTATAATACAGATTGCAAAAGGTACCAAAGAAAATTATTTTGAAAAATACTTTTATTTTCTTAGACAGGTTTGTTTACAATCGTATACTTCTAAAGGGCCCCAGTGGGCCCCACAGACTTCGTTCAATTCACGCGAATTAGATAGCACGAACATGCCAGGCACACAGTATGTGGAGAAAAAAGCGATACGGTTTCACGGTCGTGCAAAATCTGTTTCGGTTAGATTCGTTGCCTCTCTTGGTTCGCACGATTCGGTTCGTACGGTCCTGTTCGCACGAACAGGACAAAGCCTGTAGGGTCCTTAATTAAGTAACAAACAATCAGTTCTACAAATTATGTTACCACAATTTCTTACTATAGGTATAATACAATACAATCATCACATCCCAATATACATATTTCCCACTTTTTTTTCTCTAACTGCATATTAAATTAAATACTCTAATCAAATAATATACATAATACATATATAGATTCACTTCAAAACCATATACGAGTATATTTGACACGAAACAAAGAACCATCAAATTTAGCGAAAAGTATATTCTAGAAGTTTTGCACAATTTTGTAATTTTGTGTGGCTATTAAAAACACACCTACAGACGGAAGCCAAAGACAATTTTTACGATTTAGGTCTTTTTCGTACGTTTTTACAACAGAAAAACGTAACCTGACTGAACCTGGTTAATCAGTTAATTTTTTTGTTAATAATCAAAAAAGCGTATACGAAGGGATGTATGTATAAGCATGAGCCAAGGTGTGTAGGTATACAGGGTCGGAAAGTCCCCATGGTTCAAATAAGATCCACTTCTTATTTGTGGAAGGGCGAAATGGGCGGTGACTATTAGACGCTTTCATTATAGCCATCTTTCTCTATCGCACGGATTTCTATGACTTTCTTTATCGCTCTCACGTAACGGCCGATGGACCATGAGGACTTTCCGACCCTGTAGATGCAAATGTTCAAAACATGGAAAATCGATCAATAACCCGACAACAACGCCGTCTATAAATCTTTCCACACATTAATGCTGAAAAAAAATATATCCAGGAAGCCGTTAGATGACGCTGTAACTGTTTCGTGAAATTTGTATTAAAATTCCGCACACATTTATTTTCCCTGTGGGACATAGTACTTAGTTTGATTTTTTACATTCAGGTAATGCTGAAGCATGATTGTACAGCAGTAACAGAAAGTGACAATTTCTATTAAATTATTTGTTTTTAGACAATATAAACATTTTTATAAACTGATTATGATTTTTAGAAAGCATTACATGTATGAAATCTGATGCAACTTGCTTTTAATGTTCTGTAATAAAACAAAAATCGTCTTGATTAGCCATTTTTTCAAATTTTCTCTGGAATATTTGTAATTATAACAGAAAATCAGGTTTCAGATGGCATTCTCCGTAATATTCTACATTTTCACAGACACAACACAACAATCGACCGGATGGAATCCGAAGCCACTCGTTCCAAATTCGATTAAAAATTTCAAAATGCTGGCAAATACTAATTTCTATATCTCACGTCTCAAATTTCGATTTTTACATTTTGATAAAATTTGTTCGCCATGAAGACATGTTTTTGCCAAGATTAAAAATTAATCGACATGGAAATATTACAAATATTTATAAATACATATTTTAATTATTTACTAAATAAAAATAAGATAATATATGTTAAAATATGTTTAAATTTCTATAAACTTGAATATATGGATGGAAATATTATTTGAAGATTTTGAAGATTAAAACCACTACGGTTTATTTGTGTAAACTTGCTAAATCAGACGGGCTAAAATCGTAAGATACTCATAGCAGACTGCGCTTCTTAGCCTGCAGAGAAACAGAATGGCTTATCGGAGACTGTGATCGTGTTAATTCGATCAGTAGGGTAATTGTCTTGTCGTTGGAGAAGCAATCCAATAAAATGTTTGAAAAAATATTGTTAACAAGATATGTTAAATTTTACGTCTGTCTGTGTGCTATGGTATTCAAAAACAGTTTTTAGAAATTAGATACTTGCTTAAAGCGGTTTATGTTCATTTAAGAAAGTCATTTCATTTCTGGACACCCTGTATATTAAGGATTACAACGATAGTACCATTGTTATCTAAAATGAAATTTTGTATTGTAATGTAAGATACACTGTAAAAAAACGAACTTCAAATAAATTGTCATAAAATGTCACTGGGGAATGTAGTTGCTAGTGACCTCTAGCAGATGGTTAAAAACTAACAACACTAATTCATTTAGCACTGAATGATTTACCTTTAACAAATTTTAATGCACTATACTCTTTTTCGGAAAAGATATGGCTGCAGTTTGATTCAAAAAAACATTTTCGATGCCTTATGTCTCAAAAACAAAATAAGGTAGGTCCATGGCCTACAGGAAAAAATCTTCATAATTTTTATGTTCCGTCAATCCTCGAACTTATGGTACCTTTTCTCAAAACACTCTGTACATATACGGATAGACATATTTTACCCATATAGTGTAATGCCCGTTAAATCATACTGTACGTACATATATTTTTTTGAAAGTAGTGTTTGCTGTTGGTAAGGACGGGTTTTTTTTAAGGTCATAACTGTTCGTATAGAATAGGTATGTGCAATACATTTTGAGAATAACATTTTGTCGGAATACGATTTTGGTTTCATTCTTCCATACCTCTATTTTAGGGATGATCGGTGTTTGTACCGAAATCCTCATTTATCGCTTGCGGTGCTGAGACTCTCGCCTCCTGGTCCCTTGCAAATATATGAGCGAGATTATAGGACGCCTCCCTCATCACACCCAACCACAATGAATGCTTAAGTAGTGTACGTCATACTGGTCGGTCGTCCTCCATCGCATCGGTGGTGAGATGTTCTGTCTAAAGTCTAAGGATTTGGTCTACGCTCTAATTTATTTACCTTTTTACCACACTGGATACACCCTCGGGATGGCACTGGTTTCTGAGGCCTTTGCACTAAAAATTTTTGGCATTTTTAGTATGACTCTAGTGTCTATGGCACTGTCTTTGTCTTGAGGTCTCCTTATAGAGCAAGGGTCGGCAACTGGCGGACCGCGGTCCAGGTCCGGACCGCGGAAGGTAAAATACTGGACCGCCAAAAATTTTTTGAAGTATAAATTACTCAAATAAATTATTTAAAAAATGTTTTTTACGTTTAAGTGCCAATCTTATCATTTTTTCTAGTATTTTACAATTGTGTGAGTGTTTTGAGTTCTTAATTAGTAAGCAGATTAAATTTGAGTCCAAATTAAAATAAAAAAATAAGAAATATGAATTTTTTTTCTGGACCTCGTTAAAAATTTTCAAAAGTATCCGGATCCCACCTAAAATTACTTGCCGACCCCTGTTATAGAGCATCTTGTTTAGAAGCTACTTGGAGCTTGATTTATGAGTTATTTAGGTTTGAAAGCTTCTTTAAGTTTGATGTA